GCCCTCAGGCTGTGAACAAAACCAAAATAAAACTACCAAAACAAAGCCTAAAAACCAAGCCTCCACACACCAAGCAGCTTCACTCCCTGCTAGAAAAACACAACAGAGGAAGAAAATCAGATACAGAATCTCTTTGATGTACTGTATATCTAGTGTCTACTATACAATAAAAAATTATAGTTACGTGAGGAAAGGAGAATGTGACACACAATCAAGAGAATTAAAAAAAAAAAAAAAAAAACACCAGTCAGTAAAGTCCAACTTATGCCCCACACCTAAATGCTGGAATTAGTAGATAAGGATTTTAAAATGTCATTATAAATATGCATGGGATTTTAGGAAAAATGAAGGACATAATGAGTGAGCAGATAGGGAATAGTGAAAGAGAAATGGGAACTATAAAAATCATCCAAATGGAAATCCTAGAATCAAAAACCACAGTACCTGATAGAAAATGCTTTGGATGAAATTAATAGATTAGATACTATACAAGAAAGGGTTGGAAAACTTGGGGACAGGTAACTGAAATGACCCAAATTGAACCGCAAGAGAAGAATGGGTATAAATAAATAGATGCAGTTTCAGTGACCTGTGGAATGACAAGTATGTAAACAGAGTTCAAGAACGAGTGGGGAGTTGAAGCATAAAAAATATTTAAGGAATAATGACCCTGAATTTCCCTGACATCCTCAGATTTAGTGGGGGAAAAAAAAAATCAGCTTAGGCATGGTGACACATGCCTGTAATCCAAGAAACTCAGGAGGCTGAGGAAGGAGGATTACAAATTCAAAGCCAGCCTCAGCAATTTAGTGAAGCCCTAAGCAACTCAGTGAGATCCTGTCTCTAAACAAAATATAAAAAAGGGCTGAGGATGTGGCTCAGGGGTTGAGTGCCCCTGGGTTCAACCCCTGGTACCAAAACCAAAACTAAAACCAAACAAAAACAACAAAACAAAACAAAACACCCAATCCATTGTTTCAAGAAGCTCATTGAACCCCATATAGAATAAATATGAAGAAAATCATTAGTCACATCACAGTCAAACTGCTAAAAAAATCAAAGATTGGGGGGAAATCTTGAAAGAAGCCAAAAGACCCTTTATGTATATAGGAACAACATAAAGGAAGGCAGCTGACTTATCAGAAGCAACACAGGCCAGAAGATAATAGAAATATTTAAAACGTGTTCAGGGGGCTGGGTTCACTTTTGGAAATTTAAAACTGGGTAGGAATCTGAGGTTGCAAGATTGAGTTCCAAGCCTCCCTCCCTCTAACACACACCAAGTGTGGACCCCACACACCCCTGCCACATACACAGTACCTTAGTAGATGACTTGATTTGTTGCTGTCAGAAAGGTGATAAGACATGAAAGCATTTGTACAAATTGTGGCACATACATGAAGAGTCTCCGTATTCTCCACCATATAAACATCACATGTTTTTCATCTTGATGAAAACTACAAGGAAAATGAAGAGTCCTTTCTCCTTGACGTTTTTGTCACATGATGTTTCTATCCAACAGAATCCTCCACCTGGAGGAGGTGGGGGATTTTGAGCTCCGTGAGTCAAGCTGAAGTTTGATGGAGATGATGGGTGACATGGGAGGGCAGGGAGAAGGGGATGGCAGCCCGTGCTTCCTGGGCTCTAGCAGATGCTGGAGTCCAGGTGCGGTGTCAGTGAGCCTTATCTTATTCAATTCTCACATTCACCTGAGCAGTAAGTATTGTCAGCTCCATTTTAGAAACAAAGAAACAAAGTTTCAGAGAGAATAAGAAAGTTGCCCAGGGGCTGGGGATGTGGCTCAGCGGTAGCGCGCTCGCCTGGTATGTGTGCGGCCCGGGTTCGCTCCTCAGCACCACATACAAACAAAGATGTTGTGTCTGCTGAAAACTAAAAAATAAATATTTAAAAAAAAAAAAAAAAAGAAAGTTGCCCAGAGTAGTAAGAGGGTCAGGATCTGTGCCCAGATCTGCCAGACTCAGGTCACAGCATTTCACCCTCCCCAGTCGGCTGGTCCTTAGTTCTGTCCCCCACCCTGGGTTGTACAACAGGAGAGTCCTGTGTGGTCTGCACTTGTTCCTGTCCTTGAGGTACTCACAGTGAAGGAAGCAATAAAGAATTATTAAAGGAAGTCACTGAGCTATGCATCAGCCAGAGTGTGTGACACTATTATGTCATCTCTCATTTAATCTTCACAACAGCTCTGTGAAGCAGATCCTTGTATTATCCACATGTTATGACGAGGAAAGGGAGGCTCAGAGCTATGAGTGGCAGAACTGGAATAGGCTCCAGAGCTCAAGCTCCCCAGCAGGACCCCTGGCTGCCTTGAACCACCAAAAGGGCAGAGGTGGTGCAAAGACGGGCAGGGGAAGGCCAACCTGATGCTGCCCCCTCACTTAATGGGATCCTAGGGACTTCAAATTGGGAAAAGAGAATTACTGTAGTGATCAAGGAAGGGACTGGGGCAGAGTGGGACAATCAGCCTCCAATCACCTCCTGCCAGGATGGTCACAACCACTGCCACCAGCTCTCGATGGCTAGTCTGTGGCTCCCATCAGTCCAAGCTCCACTCAACAACTAATGTGGCCTTTTACAAATAAAAGCAGCCTTGACACTGTCTTGCTCAAAACCTTTTGGTGGCTTCCTGGGATTAAGTCCCACCTGTCTCTTAGGGTCTCAACTCTCTGCAGCCTGGGTATCTGCTCCAGTTCCTGCTGTGGTGGGAGACTTGCCCAGACCCAGCAAGCTGGAGCCACCCTGCCTCACAGCCATGGGCTCTATGGGCCAGGAACAGGGATCTGGAAGGCGGGAATGGCTTAGTTCTGCTTCCTGATGTCGAAGCCCAAGAATGAAGACTCCAAAGCTGGGTGGCCCCATGGCCAGGGGCTGGAATCAACTGGAAGCTTCTTTCTTCACACGCCTGGGGCTGCCTATCAAGCACATGGACTCTGCACAGTGGCTTCTGTAAAGCTCAGGCTCTTCTCTCATTTGGCCTTGCAAGCCAGGTAGAGTCACTCCCACTGTGTTATGCTGGGACAAGTTCACAAAGATACTCAGATTCAAGGAGGTGGTGCATGGACACCAGAGTCCCACTGTCACAGCTCATAACACTGAGAGTTCCACTAGTCACAGCTGATAACACTGAGGCCAGACAGGGCCACAGAGAGGCTCAGAGTGTTGAGGTCTCCTTGGGTCCTGGGAGATGATGTTGGGCTGTCTCTGAAGAAGCAATCAGCCATAGGCTCTTTACACATCCTCTCTGCCCAGACCCTTCTTTCTCCACGAGGTCACCTGCTAGTTCTGAGCATCACTTCCTCATAGAGCCCTGATTGCCCCACTCAGGCTCAGCCAGGTCTACTGGTGAGATCTGCCCTCAGCGCCCGGTACCTCTGTGCACACAGTCTGCCTCCCAGCCTGACTGCTGATCAGAGGACAGGGACCTTGGTCAAGAGCAGGTTCCCAACAAACTCTTCCTGGGAGAACTGGGAGGGAAGAAAGAGAGGGTGAAAGGGGGAAAGACAGACACACCAAACTTTCAGTGTTTATCTTGGGCTGCAGAATATGGGTTCCTTATCCTGCCAAGGGCACAGCTTGAGGAGAAGAACTCAGCTCCTTCCCATGTACGTCTGCTGACCTCAAGCCCCAGCCCACCATGCTCCCCATGGCCCCTCAGGAGCTCTCCAGGCCCTCTGGGGAATCCAGAGTGGGCTGACATTTTCACCCCACAGCAGAGCAAGGGAGTATTTCTGACCAACAGTCTAATCTAGCTCTCTAACGTGGGGGCCTGCAAAGACGGGGTTCTCTTCTAAAAAGGGAAGGAACTTACAGATGGAAAAGGGGGACAGCTTGAGAGGCTGGGGAGAGGCTAAGAAGGAAAGTTGCACCCCTGCAGAGGTTAGTGGAAGTCCTAAATGGGCCTCAGTGGCCCTTCTGCCCAGGGGCCAGGAACACAATCCATGGTGCCTTGAGGTGGGGAGAGTTCCACTGAAGTTTTCACCACCATCATCACTAAGACTTTAAGGAGGAAAAAAGAGCCACTGCCAATACTGCCCACACTGCAGTCCAAACAAGGGTGAACTACACTCTTGGGTGCCTCGGGGAGGTTGCCTTCCTCTTCCTCTTGGACAGAGCACATAGCAGCAGGCCTGGCCCTCCTTCCTCTGACCCTGCCTCCCCACTGACCAGCCTGACAGGGCATCAGGTCTGGAGGATGCTTGATTCATGGGGTCAGGTGCCATCTACTCTCTCCTGCTCTGATCCTATGAATGTTCAGATTTCACCTAAGGTGGCAGATTCTGCTCCGAGATCTCAAGTGGGACTCCAACAGTTCTTCCTAGAAGAGTCCCACTAGTCACAGCTGATAACACTGAGGCCAGACAGGGCCACAGAGAGGCTCAGAGTGCAAGATCTGGCTGGCCCATCCTTTGGAACACTTGCCGCAGCCCTGGGAGATAGATTACTAGAGGTATCTGCCTAATTTACTGCTGCAGGTAAGGGACATTGGAAAGGTGACTCAGGTAGAAAGTGATTCTTCTCTGGTGCCCCACCCCTAGTGGGTGGTCCTAAGTTGCTGCCTCCTGCTAACCTCCAGCAGCAGGGACGGGATGGCCTTGGGCTCCCTTCCCCAGGGTTTGGAGAGCAGTTCAAGCGAGGCCTCCAAAATGGGAGCTGACAAAGGGAGGCTACAGAGCTGAGCAGCGCCCTGGACTGGGGCTCTGTAGGCAGTGCATGGGGCGGGAGTTGTCAGGGAGGGCTGCTCCCTGGGCTTGCAGGGCAGCGATCTGAGCCCATTACCTGAGTCAACTGGGAAGCGCTCTGCCTCTGCAGGACGCCCCCGGAGCTGCCTGGCTCTGGGGAGCAGCGGGCCAGGGAGCAGAGCTGGCCCGCCAGCCCATGTCGAGAAAGGAGGGGGCCGCTGAGGCCGCCAAAGTGGGCGGGCAGGGAGGGGCTGGACCAGCTGGGGCCGGAGCTAGTGTGACATCACCGGGCGGCCCGCCCCTGTCTGGGCTGAGGGGAGGCCCGGAGCCTTTCTGGGGCCTGGGGGATCCTCTTGCACTGGTGGGTGGAGAGAAGTGCCTGCAGCCAACCAGGGTCAGGCTGTGCTCACAATTTCCTCCAGCGGCATGTAAAGCCTCCACAAAGGAGTTGGGAGTTCAAATGAGGCTGCTGCAGTCGGCCTGAGGATGGACCCCAAGCCCTGAGCGGCACTGCCCAAGGCCAGACCTGCAGAGCATGGCACCAAGGTGGCCGCCTGCCCCGCAGTGAGGGAAAGCAGATTGTGAGCAGCCCTGGGGCACCCCGCTGGCCCCCGCCCCATCCTCGTTGGAGCCGGCTGCAAGTCAGAGCCAACAGAGGCCAGTGAGCAGGGCTGCCGGGCCGCCAGCTCGGCCTGTGACTTGGGACCTCTCCTGGAGGCCATGGACAAGCTGCCCCGCTGACGCCACAGTGCAGCATGTGAGGAGCGGCCCCAGGAGCCACACAGGAGGGAAGAGGTAAGGGGCCAGCTGCCAGGTCTGTGGCAGCAAGGGGCAGCAAGGCAGCAGCTGGCCCCGGGGCTGGGGGCTCAGACCCTGACCCTTCCACCAGGGAGTGTGTGCAGCTGGACCCAACAGGGATCACTCCCTTCTTTCACTTGGAGCCAACCAGGCATCTGCCTGGGCAGGACTGTGGACATGGGCAGGGGTGGTGCTTGGGGTGCAAGATCACAGGTCAGGATGTTGAGGGCTTCATCAGTGAGCCCCACTCTCCTCCTTCAGACAAAGGGCCTGTGGGGTGAGAGCAGGCGGCTCCTGGGATGGGGCCGCAGCCGGGATATGTGCTGTGCGGGTAGGTGTGTGCCTGAGGGGGCAGTGCACGGACAGCTGCAGACAGCAGGGTAGCGGGACTTGGCGAGGCGTCCTTAGGCTTTGGGCTCCTGCACACCCAGGCTAGAGAATATGCCAAGGCAGAAGCAGAAGCAAATGCAGTCCAGAGGTAGACCAAGGCCTTGCTTAGAAAGTTCCCTGGAGCCCAGCAGCCTGTTCACATCCCTCCAGCTGGTGAGGACAGCAGCAGAAGTGTCCCGTGCTGGATGGGATGTCTGTCACCCATGGGTTTCTGCCACTGGGACTGGGGCAAAGTGCTGCCCTGACCTTCCCTCCATGCCCTAGGACATCAGACCCCTCCAAGCACCCAGGGTCCCCCAGGTCTTGAACTTGCTGAATGCAGCCAAGAAATAGGGGACAATGGGCTTCCCTGGCAGCTCAGCAGGGGGACATTGCAGGCATCACATACCAAGTCCCTTGAAAGTTCTCAGCGTTAGATAACATTTCCAAACAGAAATTCTTTACCGATCCTTCCCTTCTCCCTCTGTGATATGTGTCATGGGTCAGCTGTTGCCTCTGCTGTGGGATTATGAGAGCTCCCAGAGGCCAGTTTGGTTACTCAGAAAAGGATCTCTTTTCACCAGGGCTCTGAGGAAAGTTGAGAGCGCCACTTCCTAGGTCGGCCAAATGCTCCCCACGTGGATTTTCCAAGTGCAGGCAGAGGAGGGTAGAGCTCTTGAGCTGGCTTCAAGTCCAGGCTCTTCTACTTACTAGCCAAGTGGCTCTGGCAGAATGGTTAGCCTTTCTAAATCTCAGTTTTCTGTGAAATGTGAGCATAATAATGCCCGTCTCAGCAGCAGCTGAGCCAAGTGCTTCCCAATGCACAGAATCCTTACAATCTCCCTACAGTGCAGACACGATCACGTATCCCCATCTTATAGGTGAGGAAACTGAGGTAGGGGTGGAGTGTGAGGCCATGGGGCTAGTCAGTGCCAGCCCCAGGACTCGAGTCCAGTGATGTAGCTCCAGATGCACTAGGCCACATTCCCCTGCTCTCCAGGAGCACATGTGACCTGGTGTGTGGCAAAATCCTTAGAAAACATCAGTCACTGGTTATCATGAGCCATGATAATCAGAATTGCACAGAGGGGACAGCAGGGACTCAAATTACTTCCCTGTTCTGGACATATTCTGCTAAAGTTTTTAGGAAATCCCAGAAGGCAGAGCCAGTGCTGCAGCCACTACTACCCACATGGGGACCTTCCAGGAGCCCAAGGGGCTTTATGTCTGGGGTCACCTGAAGTATGTGTGCATTCTGGAAGTCCACACCCAGGAGTTGTGCAGACACTTGGATCCAAGCACTTGAACCTCACAGGCAGAGCACCCCACCTCTCCCACCTGCCCACGGGCACCACTGCTCTGCTCTTTTGCATCCCTGCTAGAATCTCAGAGAAAATAAAACTTCCTCAATGATACAGGAGGACCAGAGGCCAGGACTGTCCTAGAGTCGCAGAGGAAGAGGCATGGAGTGGCCACCAGCAAGGCTGGCCACGGCGGTGAATCTTGCGCCACAGAACACTGGTGCATTTAATTCCAGGAGAGCACCTTCTGTCCTTTAGCCCCAATAGGCTCCCTGAGCTCTCGGAGGCATTTTGAAAGCTGCTGTGAAATATGTGCTTCTCTAGCACAGGCCTCTGTGGCTGCTGAAGCCACATTTTCCCTGCTGCAGCTGGGAGGCCTGGCGTGGTGGCTCATGGTCTTCTCTGGACAGCTCAGGCTGAGCAGAGGCTCTGACTAACTTCATGGCCTGGTTAATGGGTCTCAGTGGAAGAGACACAAACACGTAAAGCACACGGTCCAGAGGGCTCCACACGGCACTGCTGCAAGCTCATGGGTGGAGGAAGGAGCCCATCATGGTTGAAAAAAACCTCCCACTGGGCTAAGTGAGGAGCACATTTTGTCCCACTTCATTATCACCACAACCCTCAGCGGCAGGTTCTAAGGTTAGCATCCTATTTCATGGATGAGAAAACTAAGGCTCAGAGAGGTTAATTTGCCCAAGGTTACACACTTAATTGATTTCTGTGGGACCTGGATCCAGGACTGTCAGTCTACAAAGCCCATGTCTTCTTCCTCCACATGCCACTGTCTTGAGTAAGGTTCCTCAATTTCTTTTGTCCTGATACTGTTTCTGGGTCCCTGTCCCATGCCCCCAGCAGCCAAGTCTGCTTTTACTGTCCTATGGATCGCTGCACTACCCCCTCTGAGAGCCTCATGCTCATCCGGCCTCATCACATGGCTTGTTATCCACAGAAGCCCACCTTGGAGGCAGCGGAGCAGGAGTGTTACGTCTCTTCCTGGTATCAGGTACCAGCAGCTGCACACCACCCCTGCTGTACCATGGCCAGTACAAGGTGGATCTGGGATATTAAACACCTGCATGCCTGGGTGAGCCATGGCACTGGCCCCCATCAGAACTCAGCTCTAGCATGTGGGGGTGGGGCCTCAGAGAAATGTTCATCTACTTGACTGAGGTACCACAGAGCATCTTCTGCATCCTCCTTTGCAGACTCCCTTAGGACTGCAGATTCTGTGCTCAGATCCTCACTGTTTGTACTGAGCCACACTTGAGCAATCCCTGAGCTGACATCTGAGAGATGGCATCTGGTAGCTACAATAGAACAAACAACAGACAGAAGCCCCACCCAAGGCAGGTACATTCAGCCTCTGGCCTCTCTCTGAATCATAACCCATTTAATCTGGAATGTTCTCAATTGACAACAGACAGATGGGGGTGGGGCCCTGCTGTGTGGAGCCCATAGCCCAGCAAGATGAGGCAGGTAGACAGTAAATATTTATACCAACACACAGTGGTGTAAGAGTCCTAAAGAGGGGGCCCATGGGGCTCAGAGGGTTCTCAAGGTGGGTGGTGCTGCCCCATTTTACAGAAGCAGAAATTGAGGCTCAGGAGCACCGTGCCTCTCTCATGGTCTCACCAGTGGGCCAAAGGGCAAAGATGCAAACCCAATCTGTGCTCAGCCCAGCCCAGCCCACTACCATCCTGCACAATCATGCAGCAGAAAGCCCCAGAAATAATCAATTCACTGAATAGCGCATTTTTTCCCAGTGTATATAAAACACCCCAAATAGAAGGGTTATTCAGCTGTGGGCAGCTTGAAGTTTGTGGTGATAGATAGGTCACGCCAGAAACCTCATTTGGGGGCAGTTTCTATGACAAAACTATATTCCCTCACGTGGACTGAGTCTTAGGACTGCTTTAATAACAGCTTTGGGGGGGGGTGGCGGTTATAATTCTAACAGTGTCCTGTTCCATGTACATATCAATTGTGAGACACACTCTGATCATAGGAATGTTAAAATGTTGGGTGGGGGAGCCAGCCTCTGACAATCCAGCTATTGTGTCAGGTCCTTTCTCTGGCGACATCAGCCTGTCCTGGGGCCAGCAGGCCCAGAGCCTCAGCCCCCTCTGCTGCCCTGTCCTCCCTCAAGCAGGCCAAGCCACCACAGAGAAGCCCAGAATCAATCCTCTTTTCTGCCAGAGATGCCCAAGAACATGCCTGGCTCTGGAATGCCCAAAGCCCCATCTAAGGTGGTCCCAATACACCCTCCCCCAGGGAAGGTCCTGTCTGCCTTAACTACTGCCGAACTTCCGAAACCGCCCCTGAGCCAGGCAGAGAGGAGATCTGTATAACAGACAACCAGTGGAACCACGGAGCAAACCCCAGACCCAGGTCTCAAGCAAACAAGCCCTCCACCCAGCTGTACAACAGGCCTCCCTAATGTCCAGCCAGTGTCTTTTCTGGGGTACCTCCCCTGAGGCCCCAGCCTGAGTGGATCATGGGCCCCTGAGCCGACCTATCTGGGTGTTATCATCTTCTTTAGGAATGCTTGAGGCTGTGGGCCCCTTGAGGGCAGGGACCTCTCCTGCCTTTTTCCTGCTGTATCTCTAGCCTATGGTATAGATGCTGGCTGGGGAAATACACGGAATGAATGAAATCCTAGAATTCCTATTCAGTGGCCTGGGTGCCATCCTGGGCACTGGGCATTCAGAGGGTAATACACCTCTGAGTCTGCATCCAAGCTCACCATGATTTTAAGAAGTTCACAGGTGGCCAGATGGGTGCATTCTGTGACCTGTATATTGGATTGGAGGAGGCCATGGCCACTTTTGCAAGCTGGAGGAAGGTGGGGACCTCACTACAAAGGGATGTCTTCACAGAGAAATGGCCTCGTGAGGTCACCTGAAAGGAAGACAGGCCCGCATCAGGTGAAGCAGTGGGTGAAGTGCTTAAGGCAGAAAGCAGGGCACATGCTAAGGCCAGGAGCTGGCAGCTGGGCTCTGCTTGCAAGTAGGATGCTGAAGCGACCCCTCATTGAGTTTTGGAAAGGCGGCCCTGGATGTGCAGGCAGTGTGGACAGCCATGGAGAGAGCGCCCAAAGGCAGGGAGCCAGCTAGAACTGTGTGGGCAAGAAGCTGACTCCAAGCCCAGCTCCACCCCTTGGCAGCTCTGTGGCCCTGGGCAAGTGACCGTGAACCTTGCCTCTGTGTGCTCATCTGTGAAATGGGGATAACCACAGCCCCTGCCTTGCAGAGGGATCAATGAAATAGACCCAAAAAGAGCTCGCTCCAGTGCTCAAGGAACAAATCCATTCTGACAGGCCAAGGT